TGACAACACAGGAGGGCCGATCCTCGACGAGCTGCACCACCCGGCCGACCTCTTCGCCGTAGGCGCGGGTCACGTGAATCCACGGCAGGCCATCGATCCAGGTCTCGTCTACGACCTCACACAGGAAGACTACGTTCCGTATCTTTGTGGCCTCCGCTACAATGACTCAGCTGTTAGCGCCCTAGCTCGCAAACCCGTGCGCTGCTCGTCTCTTAAGAGCATCTCCCAAGGAGAGCTGAACTACCCTTCCATATCGGTCAAGCTGCGGGCGAACAGTTCGAAGTCGGTCAGCTACACGCGGACGGTGACCAATGTGGGGAAGCCGACGTCGATTTACGCGGTGAAGGTCGACATGCCGAAGGGGGTGTCGGCGAGGGTTACGCCAACCACGCTGTCGTTCAAGAAGGTGAACCAGAAGAAAAGCTTCAGCATCAGCTTCAGGAGAAGCGGAGGTCGATCGGGCAGAGTCAGTGGGCAACTGAGGTGGGTGTCGAGGAAGCACGTGGTTAGAAGCCCAATCTCCATCGTCTTGAAGTAATGCATGCACGTGCACATTGTATAAATATTATTTGTCCCGATATTTGGTGGACTTGGCCGCCAAATCAGTGAAATGAAATGAACTTTATTCCCGAAAACAATTGCATTTTCTAAAAATAGGGTAAAATTAGGGTAATAAAACTAATTGTATAATAATAAATATATAAAATAGGATTAAAATCCATTTTAGCTATGTGATTTTGGCCATGCATCTCTTAAATCGTTATGGTTTACCTATATCTAAAATAATCTCTATATTTTCAAAAACGTAGCATATAAGCCTCTTCCGTCAAGCTTACATGATATTTTAACTCACAATAAAAAGTTAAGGTCCATTTTGACCCCGTGGGTTTTGGTCAAAAGCCTCTTAAGCCCTTATGGTTTACTAATATCTAAAATAATCTTATATTTTAAAAAACATAGCATATAAGTCTCCTCCATCAAATCTTAGTTAATAGATGTTAGACTCTGCGTGATGCTTACTCATAATAAACTATAAATATAATGACACATGTAATTTAAGTTTAAAAAAATTTATAATAGATGGATTTGAAAACATGAATCAGTTTTTTAATCAATTTCCTTTAAAATGAGCCTTTTCACGATCTAGTGTGCGTTGCGTTGACCTTGCCTCGAAGTACCTACGACGGTTAAGAAGGCCATAATGGAGAGTTGGTCCCTTGGGCCCAAAGAGAAAACCAATAGCCGCATTGTGCGCTTCACCATCCGGAGCTTCTCCCATATCATGCCTTGGCTCACGTCCAGCATCATCACCAGATCAATCAAGGCACAGAGAGGGGCAAAGGATCCTATCAATGGCGTTTTCACCTTGAGAGCCACCACATAGCTTTAGTACCTTCGCTCTTCCGAGAGTATGGCTACCTGCAGCATTACGATTATAAGGATGCCACCGGCCCTGAACCTAAGTGTCAACCGATGAAGGACTCCTCCGTCAATGCAACTAGTAGATCGAGCGTGAGGGGCTGCAAGGAGCCCATAGAACTCGTCCTCTCATTCCACGTCCTCCACCTCTACATCATCATCGTAAGCTTCCTTATCCTTCTTCTTGTTGACTGCTTCTGGTATAGGATTGAATTGCATGCCCCCACCCTGGTTGGGCTTCGACATAAGCAATGACACTCATCATCATCATAAACTTTAGCAACAACAACAGCGATAGCCACTTTGTTCTCCCGCAATTGTCGTTCTTTGCCTTTGATAGTGTTCCGACTACCACTATTAGTAGTTCTCCTATTTAGATTCTGATTCTCCATCTCTCCCACTACCCCTTGCTCGATACTGGGTGCATCATCTTCTAGGCGACGGAGCACGGTGAGGAAGAGCATGTGACACCATGAGGTGGAGCAAATGGGGAAAGCGAGGTTGGCATGGCTCCTGACATAGGTGGCAATTCAAGGAAAGTGGAAGGCATGGGAGCATGTCGCCATAAAAACTGGCATCTCCTAGCTCGCCTTCACAAGGTTGATTAAGCAGCCAGTCCACATTTTCAAATCCACCTATTATCATTTTTTTAACTTAAATTATATGTATCATTATATTAATAATTTATTATGAGTCAGCATGTCACATAAGCAAACTCTAATGTTTGTTAACTCAAACTTAACGGAAGGGGCTTATATGCTATGTTTCTTAAAATGTATGGGTTATTTTATATACGAATAAACCATAAAGACCTAAGAGGTCCATGGTCAAAACCATAGGGGCTAAAATGGACCTAAACCCTTTTTTAACTTAAATTATATGTGTTATTATATTAATAATTTATTATGAGTTAGCGTGTCACATAAGTAAACTCTAATATTTATTAACTCAGACTTAATGAGATGGGCTTATATATTATGTTTTAAAAAATATAGAGGTTATTTTAGATATGAATAAACCAAGGGTTTAAGAAGTTAATAGCCAAAATCACATGGGCTAAAATGGACCTTAACCCTATAAAAAATAATCGCCTCTAACCCAAGGAATTGTAATCCTATTTCCCTAATGGAATGTAATATGAGAATAATTTAATTCCAAGATATTCTAAAGGTGACCCCTCCGGATGAGCTCCTCGATCTGATACTTGAGTTTGTGGCATTCCTCCATGTCATAGCCATAGTCTCGATGGAAACGATAGTACTTCGACTTATCCCTCAGCTCCTTGGGAGTCTTCATGGGTATTGCCTCCTTTAGAAATCTCTTTTCTCTTATTTGGAGAAGATCAGATCGGTCATTGGAAGGGGCAGCTGGGGCCAAGGGGTATTTTTCATGGTCAGTTTGAAGTTGAGGCTCAAGGCGGGTCTTGGCACGATCTCTTATGGGGCTCCTTACATCAATTGGAGATCATGGCCTCTATAGCTACATATTGGTTCATCCTTTAGAGCATTTCGGGGATGGTTGCCAGTGGCCTTTCAATCAATGATCAAAAGAAATAGGAGGACCATAGATCTACCATGAAGGCTTGTATCACCGAGGGGTAGGCATCTTGAACCCCTTGGATTTCATGGGTAAATCCAGAGACGGAGTGAGAAAGAAGCTCGTCCTCCCTTTGCCTTAACTAGAGTAGCATAGCTGCTAAGAGTCTCGGGTGCATATTAGCTAGGAAGTGAAGCTCAAATTTTTTTGCTAGTTGGGAGGAGGAGGAGACCAAGAGCGGCTTTAAACGACTGAACCACTCATGAATTGACCCCCTTAATATTGTTGTGAACCCAGCACATCAAGGTGTCTGACATCCAGTATAGCAATATTTGGGCTCTGAAAGTCATGGTGTGCTCTACCGAATCAGAGCTACCATCGAATGCCTTCAACGTTCAGAGTCAGAAGTTGGTGGAGAGGGGCTCTTTCTCGATACTTCGAGCAAATAGGTGGTGGCCTAAGGTCAAGTCATAGCCTCCCATTTTAAGTGCTGGAACTCTCACTGGACCTTGTCCAGAAATTGGTTGACCTTGCAAGTTGGGCCTTGAGTGAGTCCTTGATTTAGTTGATAGATTGGGTATCTGATTCGAGTTGAACGAATTCATGGCAGGGGGCGCATTGTGCCTTGTCGTGGGAGAAAACCCCGCTCCCTATGGCACCTCCCTCTAATGAGGATGGTCAGAGTGGACCTACTACGAGTCTGCCAGAGATTCCTTCGAGGGTGGAGAGGTGAGGGAAGGTGGGAATGGGTGGCTGGGATTGAGCCAATTGTGGCAAAAGTGGGGCGATGGCTTGTATCATTCCGACTAATATTTGGACTTGGAGAGTGAGGCTAAGAAAGGCATCGGTGGGGATAAACATGTGCCCTATGCTCGATCTCGGAGGAGAGAGACTTGGATGGTTGGACAAACACTAATAGCATCCTAGCGTATGTTTCAAGGTGGAGGCTTCCACCTACAGGAAGGGAGGAGACTATCTTTCTTGTACAAAGGTGTTAAGTGTAGGTGGCGACGCTTCCTCATTGGACTGTTCATTGTGCGGGTCCGTGGGTAAGTGTTCATTTGAGCCATTCCTCTAATACTAAAATGTTAGTTCTTGAGTGTTGTTGACTATAGAGTCAACACGATCTGGTTCAATCCCAAAAGAACGGACCCATCCTAGTAGCCTAAACATATCGCTTGTGTGACGAGTAGACTCCTGATGCTTTTCACCCACTGAAGGAAATTTAGAGACGTTCCGAAGGAGCACCTTGACTAGGCGATGTTCTGTGTCATCCTAGGGTGCTCCTTAGGTGTGCCGGAGCCCTGCACAATTGGTCAGCATCGAAAAAAATCTAACCCGGCCCTTCCAATGTTTAAGTTAATAGAGAAATTAGTGAAGATTTAGCAGAGCTCAAGATAGGTTTTTGTCCAATCCCCTTCATCTGGTTTTTAGGGTTGGCTTTTATACCTGATTTGTAGGTAGAGGATTGTTGGTTGCTCATCCCTCATCTGGTTGGCTTTTGTCCAATCCCCTTCATCTGGTTTTTAGGGTTGGCTTTCATATCATCAAAGATTCATTTATATCGATAGCTAGTGAATATGTCTTCTTGTTGATTATATTAGGAAAAGGTTGGGGGTGTGTCGTCGTCAGGTACCCGAAGAGTTGGACCATGCTATCAGAAATTAATGCTCCTAGCGATTAAGCATGTGGCCTCTTCTGAAATCATGGTCAAGGTCGATGGATTGCTGATGAACGATGGTGTGATCGAGGGGAAGCTAAGAAGTTAGGTCGCCACCGGTTTACATGTATGACTTTCCACGTGAGGACAGTGCGAGATCTTGTGTGGCTAAAGAGATCATGAGTGTAACGCTTGTACTTTCCCTATCACAAACTCAATTCTCAATGGAGTGGCTAAAAGAGATCATGAGACAGTTCTTGAGGTTCGACCACAGATGTTTTTGTCAATATTACAGCGCCTCTGCCGGACTATTGCTCCGAGAAAACAACTCCTCGATCCTAATTAAGGAAGTTTTTAGGTCTAAAGACGTCTTGTTTGACCTTTTCTCTCCACCAAAGAGCTCTATAAATCTCCATCGATGTTTTATGTTTCGGCGTCGCCCCTGCATGCGATGGCTCTCCGGAAGCATTTTCTCTCGATCGTCCTGTTCCTATGTGCTTCCGTTCTCCTTTCCGGCCAACATGCAGACGGTACAGAGGAGCCGAAGGTCTATATAGTTCACGTCAAACAGCCGGAGGGCGAAAACTTCTCCGTGGCGGAGCAATGGGCACCGTGGTACTCCTCTCTGTTGAACGGAGCAACTGACGTATTCGGACTTGCGTCCGAGCAAGATACCGCGGCGTCGCGCATTATCTACTCCTACCGCAACGTCATGACTGGCTTCTCTGCGCGCCTCACCGACAAGGAGGTGGAGGCCATGTCGAAGCTGGACTGGTTCCTGCACGCCTACCCGAGCCCTGTGTACCGTCCGCTGACCACCCACACCCCCATGTTCCTGGGGCTTAGGTACGGCGGCCACAGCGTGTGGAACGCCACCAACATGGGCGAAGGCATCATCATCGGCGTCCTCGACAGCGGCGTCACCCCCGGGCACCGTTCCTACGATGACCACGGTATGCCGCCGGCGCCGGCCAAGTGGAAGGGGCGCTGCGACTTGAACGCGACGGTGTGCAACAACAAGCTCATCGGCGCAAGGTCCTTCATCAAATACAACAACGTCACGCGCCGGTCGACCGACGAGCCGATCGATTATGATGGGCACGGCACTCACACGTCGACCACCGCTGCCGGGGCGTTCGTGAAGGGTGCCAACGCCAACGGGAGCGCCAAGGGCGTCGCGTCCGGGATGGCGCCGCGCGCTCACATCGCCGCCTACAAGGTGTGCTACGGGAGCCAATGCCTGGGTCATGACATCTTGGCTGGCATGGACGCCGCTGTCGACGACGGGGTCGATGTGCTCTCCGTCTCGCTCGGCGGAGACTCTGAACATTTCCACTCCAACCCCATCGCGCAGGGCGGCTTCAACGCCATCAACAGAGGAGTCTTCGTCAGCTGCTCGGCCGGAAATTCCGGACCGGACCACAACACCCTGTCGAACGATGCGCCGTGGTTGCTCACAGTGGGCGCAAGCACCATGGACCGCTCCCTCTTGGCCACGGTGAAGCTCGGGGACGGACAAGAGTTCGATGGCGAGACAATGTATCAGCCGCACGATTTCGGGTCCAAAATGCTGCCGCTGATGTACCCAAATGGGAATGAGCAGTCCTCCCTCTGCGTCAGCGGCTCTTTGGATAGATTCGACGTACGTGGAAAGATTGTGTTGTGCGACCGCGGCCGAAACAGTAGAATCGAAAAGGGTCAAGTCGTCCAGTTCGGCGGCGGCGCCGGGATGATACTTGCGAATGCACCGGTGGACGGGTACACCACCGTTGCCGACCCCCATGTGCTCCCTGCATCAAACGTTCCCCATGCTTACGGACTCAAGATCAAGTCCTACATCAACTCGACTTCTTCTCCCACGGCAACGATCATCTTCAAGGGCACCGCCATGAACACGGCCCACTCGCCGGCGATGGCCTCGTTCTCCTCCCGCGGACCCAGCCAAATCACGCCGGGGATCCTGAAGCCGGACATCACGGGGCCGGGCGTGAGCGTCCTCGCCGCGTGGAAGGACCAGAAGTTCAACATGAACTCCGGCACCTCCATGTCCTGCCCTCACCTCTCCGGCATCGCCGCCCTGATCAAGAAAGCGCACCCCGATTGGTCGCCGGCCGCGATCAAATCCGCGATAATGACGACGGCATACGTGACGGACAACAGCCGAGGGCCGATCCTCGACGAGAGACACCTCCCGGCCGACTTCTTCGCGATAGGAGCGGGACACGTGAACCCTCCGAATGCCATCGACCCCGGTCTCGTCTACGACCTCACACCCCAAGACTACATCCCTTATCTCTGCGGCCTCTACGACAGCACTTATGTTCAAGTGATAGTTCGTAAGCACGTCGATTGCTCGTCTGTGAAGAGCATCAGCGAAGGAGAGCTCAACTATCCTTCCATATCGGTCACTCTGCCGGCCAACAGTTCGACGTCGATCAGCTACACACGGACGGTGACCAACGTCGGGGAGCCCAAGTCGACGTACACGGTGAAGCTTGACGTGCCGAAGGAGGTATCGGCGGGCGTGACGCCAACAACGCTCTCGTTCAACGAGGTGAACCAGAAGCAAAGCTTCAGCATCAGCTTCAGGAGGAACGGAGGTGGGTCGGGCGCAGTGCAGGGGCAGCTGCTGTGGGTGTCAGGGACGCACGTGGTCAGGAGCCCGATCTCCATCAAGCTGGAGTAATCCATGCATGCAGGGGCGACAAAGGGAACGTCATCATATACGATGTTCTCTCTCCGGAGATGGGATTGGCATTCACAAATTGTTATTGATTTCCGATGATTGGATGCATATCACCATCTTCTCAGTGAAATGAGATTTATCTATCTGATATATTTGTGTTCCTATGTGTCATTATGTTTACGTCCCTAATATTTATCTTCGACATACTATTTATTATACGATTCAATCAATATGGACATAATATTTATCTTATGAGTTATTAATCTTTCATTTCAAATAACATATATATATATAATAATATATTTAGTGATTTCCAAAGAGTGAATATTGATAGTGGTAATAACGATGGGACATGCGTTGACTTCAGCTCCTCCAAGATAATGATCCACGCCTCGGTTTGACTTGATGCGCCTGACCAAAGCAGACCAGGACGACGACCAGGGCACGCCACATCCTGTGCAAGCCCGTTTATTCACGCAACGCCCACATTAGTGTCGGACGCTATCGAAAGTACGGATCTGCCCCTATAAGCGGGCACATCAGGAAATAATAAGCTTCCCTATAAAAACCCTCACGTTCAACTCTAGGGAGAGAGAGAGAGAGAGAGCAAAGACAAAAACCCCTTGTGACTATCTATTAACTGGATTGTAGGAGGGGTCGAGTTGAGCTTCCCGACCCGACCTGTGTGCAGGGACGAAGACGGAGCGCCTCCCATTACGTGCCCGGGCGAGGAATATCTTTCCAGACGAAACGGCTGTCGCGTCCCGATCGGATCACAGCAGTCGGCCACCTCAGCAGTCCCAAGGGTCGCCTAGCAAGATCCCTGATCATTCGAACTCGAACCCAGTTGCGTTGGCCCCCAGGCCACGGCTTAAGGTTGTTTCCCACAACAAATATATATTAGTGTCTTCCGAGTTAAATGACATTTGTCTATCGAATATATTTATGTTCCTGTGTGCCATTTTGTTTCCAACCTTATACTCCATCTTATTTTTGGTCCAAAATTTCCTGCTCTACAATGCCATCGTGTTTAATTTTCTTTTAATTTATCAAGACCACATATACTTGCAGATAATTTCATAGTAGATTTATTAACTTTAAATAATTCTCATCACATCCTCATGAATTTTGTAACGGGTGTTGGTATGTTCATGACTTGCTGCACTTTTATAAATTCCATCAATAAATAAGATTTAGCTCTTTACTTGATTTTTCTTCCAAAAAGTGTTATCTATATATTTATAATTATATATATATATATATTATTCTTTCATAACAAAGCCAAAACAACCTTATCGACATTTCGTAGAAAGAGGATAATATATCACAAGGTTTAATTTTTATTAATATTTATGTAAGTGAGATAGAAAAAAGATAGATTAAGAAAATAATCTCAAATCACTCAAGATCAAAACAATCTTGTGTTAAATTAGTATATGACATAATATATGTTAACATTACCTATTGATTAGTTAGACTAACATTTGTAAACATTTGATTTTTTATATATAATTTAAAAAATATATAACATTCCGATAAGTCTCACATCGAAAGTAAAGAAGACTAATATTAAGTTATAAGGATCTGATGAGTATACTATTATTAACTTCAATTTAAATATCTTAACCAGTAGTTTAGGTCAATTAATACATTAGAGGTTCGAACTAAATATGAGATATATTTTAGGATTAAATAAAGTATAAACTTTCTAATATTTGAGATTTGTATTAGTGAAAGTCAATTATTTAGTAAAAAAACTAATTTATTATTTATTTGATTATATCCTAATCTAAGTAAAAAAAAGAAGAAGAAATTGAGTTTATTAATTACTAAAATTAGTCTCCTATGCCACGACTTAACCACAAAATTATACTGAAATCCAAACAGTAATAACTTCTTTTCTTGTTAGTTTGTTTTGTGTTCTTTCTTGTTTTGTCACATATCACGTTTGCTTAACCCTAATTACTGTCCCTAAACAATACTTCCATCCTGTGTAGGAATGTACTTACGACTGCATCCCGAGAGGAGCTCTATAAATCTCCGTCCTCTAATGGTTTGTCGTAAGACCCAAACCTGCGATGGCTCTCCCTAAGCCCTTCCTCCCCCTCCTCCTGTGCCTCTGTGCCTCCTTCCTCATCTCCTGCCTTCATGTCTACGGCTCCGACGAGCTGACGGTCTACATTGTTCACGTCAAACGCTCCGAGGACGTGACCTTCTCCGCCGCCGAACAATGGTCCGATTGGTACTGCTCCCTCCTAAACAGTGCAAGTGAAGCTTTCGAACTTGCGCCTGAAGAAGATGCCGCCAACGTCGCAGACTCGCGCATTGTCTACTCCTACCGCAACGTCATTACCGGCTTCTGTGCGCGGCTCGGGCAGAGGGAGGTGGAGGCCATGTCGAAGTTGGACTGGTTCCTGCATGCCTATCCCAGCCCCGTTTACCGCCCCCTCACCACCCACACGCCCGAGTTCCTGGGGTTGAGCCAACCGAGCCACAGCGTGTGGAACGCCACCAACATGGGCGAAGGGATCATCATCGGCATCCTGGACACTGGCATCACCCCGGGGCATCCTTCTTTCGATGACGACGGCATGCCGCCGCCGCCGGCAAAGTGGAAGGGCCGCTGCGACTTGAACGCGTCGGCGTGCAACAACAAGCTCATCGGTGCGAGGTCCTTCATCAATTACGACAAGGTCACGCGTCGGTCGACGGTCACTCCGGTCGATGATGAGGGGCACGGCACCCACACCGCGAGCACTGCCGCCGGGAAGTTCGTGACGAATGCTAGCGCATATGGGAACGCCAGGGTGGTCACGGCGTCGGGGATGGCGCCGCGCGCTCACATCGCCGTCTACAAGGTGTGTAACGAAGATACGTGCCACGGTTATGACATATTGGCTGCCATGGACGCCGCGGTGGAAGACGGCGTCGATGTGATCTCCCTCTCTCTAGGCGGACCCTCTGCTGCTTTCCACTCCAACCCGGTCGCGCAGGGTGGCTTCAAAGCCATCAACAAAGGAGTCTTCGTCAGCTGCTCGGCAGGTAATACAGGGCCAAATCGTGGCACCGTGACCAACGATGCGCCGTGGCTGCTCACGGTAGGCGCGAGCACCACGGACCGGTCCTTCTTGTCCACCGTCAAGCTCGGCGACGGACAAGAGTTTGACGGCGAGTCATTGTCCCAGCCGCGTGACTTCGAGTCCAAAATGCTGCCGCTCGTGTATCCCGGCCACGCCACTGGTAACGAAAACTCTTCCTTCTGCCTCAGTGGCTCCTTGGATGGCGTCGACGTCCACGGCAAAATAGTGGTGTGCGACGACGGCGGCAATGGGAGAGCCGAAAAGGATGACGTCGTCAAGAGCGCCGGCGGCTCAGGAATGATCATTGTCAACAACCCTGACTTCGCCTACAGCACTCTCGTTGAACCCCATGTCCTCCGGACGTCGAACGTTCCCTACGCTGACGGACTCAAGATCAAGGCCTACATCAACACCACCTCTGCTCCTACCGCAACCATCATCTTCAAGGGCACCGTCATGCACACGCCCCACTCACCGGCGATGGCCTCGTTCTCCTCCAGAGGACCCAGCCAAATTACACCAGGGATCCTGAAGCCAGATATCACCGGACCCGGCGTGAACATCCTGGCAGCGTGGACCAGCGCGTTCGAGGTGTTCTCCGGCACCTCCATGTCTTGCCCTCACCTCTCCGGCATCGCCGCGTTGATCAAGAAAGCGCACCCCGATTGGTCGTCCGCCGCGATCAAATCAGCGATCATGACGACAGCGTACGCGACCGACAACAGCAGAGGGCCAATCCTCGACGAGAGACACCTCCCGGCCGACTTGTTCGCGGTAGGAGCCGGTCACGTGGACCCGCCGAAGGCCATGGACCCCGGACTCGTCTACGACCTCACGCCCCAAGACTACATTCCTTACCTCTGCGGCCTCTACGCCAACTACCATGTCCGAGCTATAGTTGGCGGACCAGTGAATTGCTCCTCCGTGAAGAGCATCAGCGAAGCAGAGCTGAACTATCCTTCCATATCGGTCAAGCTGCCGGCTAACCTTTCGACTCCGGTCAGCTACACGCGGACAGTGACCAACGTCGGGGAGCCAAGGTCGACGTACCGGGCGATGGTTGACGTGCCGGAGGGAGCATCTGCGCGTGTAGATCCGACGACGCTGTCGTTCGAGAAGGTGGACGAGAAGAAGAGCTTCAGCATCACCTTCCGGAGAACGGGAGGTCGGCAGGGCGCAGTTGAGGGGCAATTGAGGTGGGTGTCGACGAAGCATGTGGTGAGGAGTCCAATCTCCATAATATTGGAGTAGTCATTTTACGAAGGGTGACACAAATGTTCCAACTCAATTGGATATTAGAAGAAAAAAAACACACACATATTGTTTGTCTAAATCAAAAAAACATAAATTGAATATTCAAAAAAACCAAATTCTCTACTAATTTTATTCAAAATTCAGATATTGTTTTAATCATACTTAACAAAAAAAATCATGATACCTAAATAAAACATTGGTTTAGTGGTATTGTATTAAATAAATCTACTTACTAAAGATTTAAACCTCATTGGAGAGATTAAAAATACTATTTAACTTAGCTCATAAATATTTCATCAATTTATAGTAAGGTTCTGCTTGTCATAATATAAGCTTCATATACTAAAAGATTATATGTGTGGTTTTTTAAGCCAACACATATTTAAATATATTTTCTTAAATAAAATCATAATATCAAACAAAGGTTATATTACTACTAATGGTGCTATGTAGCTGTGATAAGGTCGAAAAACATTTTTAATCCTATGGTTTGTTAATACAACATATTTATCTCTACATCTAATCAAATATCATGTGATATTGTTAAAGAGAATAGAAGATAAGAAGAATTATTGAGGAAGCTTCATGAAAGAGAATAGAAGATAAGAAGAATTATTGAAGAAGCTTTATGGAAGAAGCTTGAATGCATTAACATGTCCCTGTGGTGCTCCTGTCAAGGATACCAATCTTGGATTGATGCAAAGCAAACAGTTTATGAGCGAGAGGCTTCGTGAGTAGGGCAAGAGCATATCGTTGTTGTTGCTGTTGCTACGGCGACGACGATGATGGCAACGGCGACGACTGCAACAGAGGAGAAAGCTATAGTAATGCTGTAGTAGAGGAAGAAGCCGCAGTAGAGAAGGAAGCTATAGTAATGTTGCAGTGATGCTACAGCAGAGGAGGACGCTACAGCGATGTTACAGTGATGCTACAGTAGAAGAGAAAGCTACAACGATATTATAGTAGAGGAGAAAGATACAATAGAGGTGAAAACTACAGCAGAAGAGGAAGCTGCAGTAGAAGAGCAGTGAAGGCGTCATGCGTCGTACAGCGGACGGAGAGGGGAGTCCGACAGGAAAGCAAATCCGATGGGAAAGAAAGCAAATCCGATGGGAAAGAGTTCCCCCCTTCTTTGCTCTGCAGAGATAAGGGATGTGATGAATGTTGAAGCCGTGAAGCCTTGCTCGTCTCACTCTGATACCATGTTAAAAAGAAATAAGAAGAATTATTAAAGAAGCTTTATGAAAGAAGCTTTATTGAAAAAGTTTTATGGAAGAAGTCCCTCTCTTATTTATACAGATTAGGAGAGAAGATTTTCCTCAACAGAGGATTTTCCTCAAAAGAGTTGAGAGATTTTAGTTGAGAAAATATCAGATATAACGTTGCAAACACACCTAAAAATTTAAGAAATATTCCAAAAGAAATATTCTTTTTACTTATCTCGTTTTTTTTTCTTTTTCTTCTCTTATGCACATTCTCTTTTCGCCTCTTTTATTTTTTTCATTACGTTAGACAGCTCTTTTCATTTCCGACTTTTTTTCTTTCTCTTGTCTCCTCCTTTTCTCCGTCACTTCCACTTTCCCTTACTCTTCACAATTCGCTGCATCGCATCAATTTAATTTATGGGGAGAAGGACTTCAACGTGGAAGAAGTTCTGAGGATTTATATGCAAGAAATCAGGGCTAATTGTTAAATATTTAATTTGAGATTTAAATGGTGTATTTTTTTATTTTGATTTATTTTAATTTAAAATATACTAAAACATATAATTTTCCTGAAAAAAAAATTATTTTTTGGATTTTTTCAAAAGGTATCTTAGTTTTTATTTTTTTTCATTTGATATCTTATTTTTTAATATTTTAGATATTTTTGTTGTTGCTTGTAACCTTCGTCTTACCATGAGGTTCTACTATCTTTCTATGATTGTTTCATCCTGTTGTAAGAGCCTCATTCCCTTTGATGAGACTTTTATCGCTTTTTACCCCTTCGATTCCATATCATCGTGGTCATCTCCACCATCGTCGCCTCTACATTATTATTGAGAAAAGAAGAGAAGTTTGAAAAGAAGATAAAAGAAGAGAAAATAGTAGAATAAAAACGATGGTATGATACGGTGATAAACGATGAATATTTAGAGTATTAAAGAAAAAAATACCAAATAAAAATTATTAAAATGGGAAAAAAAATAAAAAGAAAGACTTGGTAATAATGAGAGTTTAATCATGCAATTCATATATTTAAAACTCTATATAAGGTTTTATATTCTAATTAATTATTTTGAAATGTCATTTAAGATATTAATATTTTAATGTTTGATGTGTTACAAATAATGACATCAGACTTATTTAATATTTAACATTTATTTGTTTCTTTTATAACTTTTGTTTTTATTTAAAATATAAAAAACAACATAATTATATCATTTTTATCGATAATATATATTTTATTTTATTTTATTATTTTATCATCATCTTGTTATTTTTATAATTATTTTTTATGTTTTGATATGGATCAATATATACTAATATTATTTATTTATTAGCTACTATTGGTTTTGAACTAATTTAAATGCTGCGTCAGTGAATTATTCCAACTAAACCTATCAATTCAATCAAATGTGATCAATGAAGGAGAGAAAAAGTGGGAAAAATTGCTTTTCTTAATATAAAATCAGAACATTCCGTAGAAAAATAATGAAAGAGAGAGAGAGAGAGAGAGAGAGAGAGAGAAGAAAAGAA